CTAACAGAAGCTATACTTCCCTCTTGGACACCGCATATACCCGTAAGGGATTCCCTGTGCCGTGTCGTCGTTATAGTATGAAAATTAAGAAGGCTTTCACCTATAACAATACGTATAAACAAAATTCCTAAAGGCAAACAACTATTCTATTATACACATGATCTTAGAATATATGTATATCTTAATATATTTTTGGTCTTTTCAAATTAAATTCTTTTCTGATCTGTTTCACATGATTGGTTGACTTACATGTTTGTTGTATTTCTTATTTGTTATATTTAAACAAGCAAGTAATTGCAAAAGAAAATGATACATAATGTTGATCTTTTGATGAGGGTAAACCAAATCTTCACTTTTCAAAGAAAGGAAAACAAAAAATGATGAAGAGAAGGTATATCATTGTTGCAAGAATCCAAGTTAAGAAGAGTTTTTTTAGTTATTCTTTTTTTTCTTCTGCTTCTAATATTCTTAATCAGAAAACTGATTTTGTCTTTACTTGTTTTCAGAATATCTTTCCAGTTTGAATATCAAATATGTGAGGAAATCTACCAGACAAAAAGCTTAACTTAAGATAAGAACTATTTAAGTTTCATCTGCTTTTTAGTATATCACGTACTTGAGTTTTGTCAACAGCAAGTTTACTTAATGTAAAACTAATAATATTATCTACTTTGGAACCAGAGTCTTCAATCTACTTTCAGTGCCAACTTGGTTCAGGTGATCATCATAAAGAGTTGTTAAAATTTCTTTTATTATTTATTTTTCTGATAATATTAATATATATAAAATATTATTATTAGATTACAAAATAACAGATTGTTATTTTTTAAAAGGTTTTGTTATATTAAGAAACCTAATATTTCAATCTTATATGATTTAATTTATTATAATATCTTTTATAATTCAATTAATAATTATGTTCTTGTATATGAATATAATTATTATAATTATTGCTTACAGAATTAGCAATTTAAATGTTTAATCTGTTTAGATTATTTACAAAAGAAAGTTAAAAAATACTGATGCTTTATTAAAAAATTTAACAAAAACTTTAAGTAAAAACTTACCCAATAAAGAAGATTTAGATAAAATTCAAAAAATAAGAAAAAACAAAGTAAAACCTTTTTTGAATATAGAGATGCATAAATATAATAACAAGAACAGTATCGAACATCTGATGTAACAGTTGAGCACCAATTAAAACAAGTAAAAAGGTCATTTTTTGAAATATAAAAAAAAATAATAATAATAAATAAATAAGTCAATAAAAATTAATAAAATTGTAAAAAAAAAACTTACTACTTATTCAGGATCTTAGTTTTGCTATTTTAAATTTTGACATAAGAATAATGTAAAATTGTAATATAAATTGTAGTCTAAAAATTGATCTACATTTATTGCTATTTACGGAAATTGTTGACTCAGAATAACCAATCATTTTAACTGTCTCTGCTAAACTGCTAACCTAATAAACGGCACTCCCCTAAGTGCACGTCCCCAGGAGAACCGCTGGTATACTTTGGTATACAGAATAAAATCATTTCGATAACGATAATTATTTTAAGTTTCACAGTGTCAATATTTTTTAGCTAATACGTATGTAATAACAATAATAAGTAACTAAAGATAATTATACTGTACATTTTGGTCCCAAGCTTTTTTGACCTGTCCCATCTGTCTCAACCGTTTAATTTACAAACCCTATATTAAAAATAAAAATTTTTTGAGCTATTAGCATGGTCTCATCTATTATCGAATATAGTTAAGAAAAAAATTATAGAAAAAAACCAACTCTACGTATAATTTCTCTTATTAATCAAATATATACTTATTAAAAAAGGTTAAAATCAGCTGCAGCATCGATTAACATCTCTATTGTGTAAGGGCGCCAATCAGTAAGCAAACATCAAATTTTAGATCGATAAGATTATTTATTGTAGTGATAGATAATTTTATTTCTGAAATTTTAAATTATAAACGTCTTTATTGGTATGTCTATTTGTCATCGACAAATATCTTATGTACAAGTTTGACAATTAAAAAATTTTGTGCTTATTATTGAATTTTAGTTTCCCACTGCCTTAATTTATGTAGCTTATTTATAAAGCTTTAATACGAGGTGAATTATTAATTGTAAAGCTTAATGACTTTCTGAAGGAATCACTTTATTCAATGTTTTTATAGTTAGAACTATGGAACATAAACTTCGGTTTGACGGACGTACTGTCATCGTTACTGGCGCCGGAGGTGGTAAGTAAAGAATTTTAGGAAGGGATAGCTGTCTGAGATGTGCTGTCTACTACTTTTTTTTTTTTTAATTTTTAATTATTTATTTAGGCCTCGGACGTGCATATGCTCTCGCTTTCGCTGTACGAGGTGCTAACGTTGTTGTTAATGATCTTGGTGGTTCACGGGCCGGTGATGGATCCTCTACTGCTGCTGCTGATAAAGTTGTAGATGAAATTATTCGTGCAGGTGGTAAGGCGGTTGCAAACTATGATTCTGTAGATAATGGTGAAAAAATTGTCGAAACTGCTGTTAAAGCATTTGGCCGTGTGGACATTGTAATTAACAATGCTGGGTAATAATTTAATAAAGTTCTTTTCCTTTATAAATAAATCGAGATACTTTTTTCTTTATTAATCGATTCTTTGTTTTTAGAATTTTACGTGATAAATCATTTTCAAGAATGACAGATCAAGATTGGGATTTAATTCAAACTGTTCATGTTCGTGGTTCATACAAAGTTACCAAAGCTGCTTGGAATCTCTTTCGAAAACAAAAATTTGGAAGAGTTATCAATACAGCTTCGGCCGCTGGTATATATGGTAATTTTGGTCAAGCTAATTACAGTGCAGGTAACATTCTAATCCTTGGATTATACAATTTGATGCCATATACCGTTATTATCAACATTATCAACACTCCCGGAATTAATGATCATTCATTTACTAAGAGGAAATGTTGTTATAATGAAGTTGATAATAACAGAAATTTGACTATATTTAGAATTTCTAAAATATTTAATTTACCATTATTATTTGATTGTGACAACGTTTAAAAATAAACAGCTAAGCTAGCATTGGTCAGTTTCACTGAAACACTCGCCAAAGAAGGTGTTAAGGATAATATTCGTGCTAATGTAATCGCACCAATTGCTGCGTCACGTATGACTGAAACTATAATGCCGCCGGATATTCTTGCTTCCCTTAAACCTGATTATGTTGCTCCCCTTGTCTTATATTTATGCCACGAATCGACTGAAGAGACCGGTAGCTTGTTCGAAGTTGGAGCTGGTTTTATCGCTAAACTTCGGTGGGAACGTTCCAAAGGCGCCTTATTTAAAACTGATGAATCATTTTTACCGGGCTCTGTGATCGCTAAATGGCCGGAAATTACTGATTTTTCTCAACCACAATATCCTACTTCTATGACTGATACTAATTTTGTTAGTTTAATTGAACAAGCAAATGCTTTACCATCTAACCCTAGAGGAGAAGATCTCCGATTTGACGGTAAAGTTGTCGTTGTTACCGGTGCCGGTGGTGGATTAGGTAGAGCCTATGCAATTCTATTTGGACGACTAGGTGCCTCCCTTGTCGTAAATGATTTGGGTGTTAGCACTCAGGGCGCGGGATCATCATCCAGTGCTGCAGATAAAGTTGTTGAGGAAATACGTCAAGCTGGTGGTAAGGCCGTGGCTAATTATGATTCTGTGGAAGACGGTGATAAAATAATTGAGACTGCCATAAAAGCTTATGGACGTGTTGACGTTATTATTAATAATGCGGGTGTCTTGAGAGATAAATCTTTCGCTAGAATGACTGATAATGATTGGGATTTAGTACAAAAGGTTCATTTACGTGGTACTTATAAAGTTACAAAAGCCGCTTGGCCTTACTTTACAAAACAAAAATATGGTCGTATAATAAATACATGTTCTACTGTTGGTCTTTATGGCAACTTTGGGCAAGCTAACTACAGTGCTGGTATAATATTTTTTTTTCAATTTACATTGAATTTTATTTGCATTACCTTGATATAGTTTTAATTAATAAATTTTCAAATATAGCAAAGCTTGGAATCCTTGGGTTCAGTAATACACTTGCATTGGAAGGTCGTAAAAATAATATTCTTGTAAACACTATTGCACCTACTGCTGGAACCCGTATGACAGCTACTATTTGGCCACCAGAAATGGTTGAAGCTTTTAAACCGGATTATGTTGCACCTTTAGTCGCTTCTCTTTCACACGATTCGTGTCCTTCAACTGGAAATGTATTTGAAGTTGGTGGTGGATGGATTGCTCAAGTTCGTTGGCAACGTTCAGGTGGTATTGGCTTTCCTACTTCCAAACCTCTTTTGCCAGAAGATATTTCTGCAAAATGGGATGTCATCACGAATTTTTATGATGGTCGTGCTACACATCCCAAATCTACACAAGAAGCTCTTCAACAGTTCTTTGAAAATTTTGCCAATGCTCAATCATCTGCAACTTCTGAACCTACAAAAAAATCCGCAACATCCGGAAAAATTGATGTAGATGCAGCTAAAAAATATAAATTTGATTCATCCGAATGCTCATACCAAGAGCGAGACGTAATGCTTTACGCATTAAGTGTTGGTGCCACTCGAAAGGATTTGCAATGGGTTTATGAAAATAATGAAAATTTTCATGTTTTACCAATATTTGGTGTTATTCCAGCAGTTAATCAATTAGGTTCTGTCCCGCTTACGTCAATATTGGGTGACTTCAATTTCGTGCGTGTTCTTATACCATTTTCGATTATTAAACTTGCGTATTTTTAATAAAGTACTACTACTTATAACTTTAACGTTTATTTGATAGATGATGCTATTACATGGTGAACAATATCTTGAACTCAAGAAACCCATTCCAACATCTGGCAAATTCATTTCAACTCCGCGTCTCATTGATGTTCTTGATAAGGGTAAAGGAGTATCAGTCATTCTTGGTGTAACTACCAAAGATGAAAAAGGTGAAGTCTTATTTGAAAATGAATCAACCTTATTCATACGTGGAATTGGTGGCTTTGGTGGTCAAAAAACTGGTGCTGATCGGGGTGCAGCCACAGCGCCAAATACACCACCAAAACGTCCTCCGGATACAATTGTAAGGGAAAAAACTCTTGAATCGCAAGCTGCCCTATATCGCCTAAACGGAGATTATAATCCATTGCATATCGATCCTAACATGTCTGCGATGGGTGGTTTTGAAGTACCAATTCTTCATGGAATGTGTACTTATAGTATATCCGGCAAGCATGTGTATACAAAGTATGGCAACAGCGATCCCAACAATTTTAAGAGTATAAAGGGTCGGCTTGCCGCACCAGTTTTTCCTGGCGAAACGCTTGAAACACAAATGTGGAAGGTTAGATCAAATTTTATTTATTTTAAATTCTTATTCATTTTGCGAATTATCATTGAATAGTCTCGCATTAACAAAACAGGAAGGAAATAAAATCATCTTTCAAACACGCGTTGTTGAACGAGATGTCATTTGTCTTGCAGCTGCAGCAGTTGAACTAAGGGGTTCTAATGTCTCTCCCAAATTGTGATTGGGCGTATGTAGAAATGATAAAGTCAGCTTTAAAACATTTAGGTTCCAAATTAAAAACCTAAGAACGTGGTTTTTATATAACATGTTCCAAACTTAAGTTAAGCCTGGTTTGATTCAGAACCATAGTTTAAACACCTGGTTCTCATTACTTTATAAGACATAATAAAAATATATTACTTAATTCATCTCGATCTTCTGAATAGCTTATTCAATATGCTAATATTGATTTATTTAATAAAATTTTGACTTTTATAAGGTAAAATGGAGTAATATGGTGGGGCGGATAATGATTCTTATACACATCACTCTGGTTATATCGACATCTGAATATACCGACAACTGGCTATAACGACATTTTTTAAATTTTAAAACTATATACTTAATGTGAAATACCTCTACATCTGGATATATCGGATTACCGATTTTTTAAAAATTTGGTTATCGTACACATATTAAAATAATTTTATAAGTAAATTTGCCTTCCCGACACTTTTAATTAATGCTCCACGTTAGACTGCTGTTTCCTATATTTTTTGCGGGTTTCATTTTTTCGCTTCGTTGGACTCATATGGCGGATCTATTTCCGATGGCGAATCTCATTCTGATTGATTGATTTGATTAGAACACTATTAAAATTTGTGACAACTTTTCATATATTATTGTTTGAAACTTCATATTTTTATAAACTATGTAAAAACACAGGATCATGTGCAGTATGTGACAAGAACGATCCTAAAGAGAAGTTTTGCACACTGATGTCAGAGCTTTGTTTAAAACTATTCAAAGTTCAGTTGTTTTGAATTTGAAAGGAGAACTTTGTTTATACGTATAATCAATTTTGTAATAAAAATTATATATAATAGACATTCAAGTTCAGATAAAAAACAAAATACTGATCAAATTCAATTTACAATGTTCAAAATCATATTGAAGATGGAAGTTTTAATAAGCAATTCAACATTGGGAATTATAATCAAAGTGAATAAGTAAAGACAAGACATTTAAATAGTGTTTGATATCTGTTAAAGTGACAACTTCAACAATCAAGTGTTGGAAATCATTACCAAAAGGAAATAAGCATTTGTAAAAATGACAAAAAGGTATTTGAATAGTATTTGAAATCTGCTAAGACAGAAACTTTAATGAACAATTAATTGTTAAAAATTGTGTTTAACAGAAATGAAAATGTACTTTTTTTTTTTTTTTGTTAAAGGTTATACTTTATGATAGAACTTTATTGACTTTTATTGGGATTAGTTTACATTATTTTTATAAAAAAAAGAGTACAACTAGTTACACATGCAACTTTTGGTTGTTTATTTAAATAGTTTTTTCTAGAGTTCTATATTAGATGTTGTACCTATAACCTATTAGAAGATTATTCATTTAAACTTTTGATCATTTGTTTTATTATTTATGTTTTTGTATATACTTAACCAGTATACTGTCTGAGCAGTATAATACCTACTTTTTTTGTATTGGTTTCTAGGTTATTACATATTTTAAAATACAACACCTGTTAGTAAAATGCCAAGTTTTTTTTTTTTTTTTTTAAATATTAAGATGAGTACTTGCAACTCAGGATTTTATTGATAGTACATTCAGCTAATGGTTGCATTACAACTACAGAAGGCAATCATAAAAAGAGTGTACAACTAGTCACTTATACAACTTTAGTCATTGTCTAATTTAAGTAGTCCATCTGAAGATTCTACACTAGCTGCCATACCTGAAACCTGCTTGTAAGTTTCCTATTTAATCACTTTGTTTCTGTATTTACCTACCTACCTACACCTACCAAGATGCTCTAGTCGATACTGGTGCAAATATGTCATGGTCACTAAGTTTTTAAAACAGTTCACTCATATAGAGAACCTTTAACCTTGTACTAAACCTTCCAAAATCTTTTGTATCCTATTCTTATAGCTGATCTGGTATCACTATGACCAAGACCAACACTGGTGATTAGGGTATACTATTTAACCACTATGTCCTTATAGAGTTCATCCCAATCCTGGTACTGACTTCACAATATATCTCTACTACTTTGGTATTTAATTCAAGTTTTATTAAGCTCTTAAATCAGATAGCCTGAAAAGACAGATCATAACTATACATCTCTGGTTTATATATTTGTCAACATGTAACCTTTTTCTTCAGAACTGAGAAATTCTGATAGCCTAGTTAGTTCCATTTAGCCTCTTCTCAAAGGCTGGTTCTTTGCCTGGTTTCACAAGTTCTAGTTCTGTTTCATAAGTTTAGTCTTTATAGTAACACTATTGAAAGTTCAGATTACTTCTCTACTTGGGTCTTCCAAGTGGGCTTCTGTTTTCCTACCTGGTTCCCATGATTTACATGGCCTAAGGACTTATCTTGGGTTTACACCGCCTGGTACTGGTATGTGTTCCTTTATACAATATTGCATGAATGTCTAGACCTTCTAGTCATGCTAGTATGACATGAGTTACTGATGTCTTATCTCAACCAATCATAGAAGACAGTTAACTGTAACATAGAAAGAATTGCAAATTTTTGTCATTACTAGGATTTGAACTTTAGACCTGCCACTTAGGGGTTAACAACCTATCCACTTTACTAGGTTGCTATACTCCTAGTTTCTTTTTGTTAATTACTTACTTATTTTATAAAATATTAATAAAAATTATTTTTGTAAAATTTACTTAGACCTTAATATTAACTTTATAACATATTCTTAGTATTTTTAGTATATTCTTGTTTTGTTTTTAGATTTCTAATTCAAATAGCTTGGAAGAACTATAATCTGTTTTTGATATATTGAGACTAGTCTGATATTCTTTTTTTTTGATCTGAAATTTAATGATCTAATTAGTGATACTTCTTATCTAAAGTTCTTATCTACTCAATTTCTCATATTAGTATTCATTTACTAGATTTAGCCTTTATAATAGTACTGTTAAAGATTTGTATTACAAATGTACTTATTAATTTAACAAATAAATTAATAAAATTATTATCATAAAAAAACAAAATAGTCTAGAATAAATATTTTTTCTTATAAATAAATATAATAAAATTGTTACTAATATAAAATAAATAGTTCTAAAAATAAAAAAAAAACATTTAAAATTAGTAGTAAAATTCTAATAAAATATTAAATATTAAATGTTGTTATTAAAATAAAATAAGTATTTTTAAAAATAAAAATAAAAATATTTAAATAATATATGAAATCTCCTAAAAATAAAATTTTGATAAATAATTTTTTTATTATTATTAAGACTGATATTTAAAGCAACTATTACTTTTATTTTTTTTTTAGTATTAAAATAATCTCTTTGGTTTTAACTTTTTATTAATACTTATATTAGGTATATGTTTTATATAGATATATCCATATTGAACTATCAGATAAGTATACAACTAATTACTTGTATAACTTTTCTATATTACCTATTTAAGGAGTCTGTCTAAGGGTGTGGCGACTTAGTAAAGTGGATAAGTTGTCAACTCTCCAAGTAGTAGGTTGGGAGTTCAAAACCCACTGACGGTGAAAATTTGAAAAACCATCTATGTTACATCAGTGTATATGGGCATCTGTGCAATGCTAGAGTTACACAGAGGAATGCAAACCAGCATTGGGCAGTGCAAACACAAGATAAGTCCTTGAAACTAATACTATGGTAACAGCTATCTATTGATCAGTTGTGATCAGTACCTGTAACACAGTCACACCAGATAACTGGCAGGTCATAGGGCATCTGTGGCCATGTAAATCCATGAACTGGGATAACTGGAAGCCTACTTGGGAAGACCTGAGTAGAGAGGTAACACAGATCTTCAACAGTACTACTGTAAAGGCTAGACCTAGAAAACAGATATCAATATGAAAGAAATCGGGCAGGCAAGAACCTCAGGTGAGGGGTACCACTAACCAGGCCATTGGAAAACTCGAATTGGAGGAAAAGGACCTTAGGGAGCAGACCCTAGAGTACCAGAGACAGGTCATAGTCCTACCAGGCTATCTGGATTGGGAGTCTAAGGTTGGAAACAAGGGTATACTAAAGTACTTGGGATATGCTGTGAAGTCAGTGCTAGGGTTTGGGTGAACTTTGCAAGGGCAAGTCCTGTTAACAAGATACTAAACATGAGTAGTTAGTTAGCAGAAGGGCCTCCTGGAGCCCTACAGTCATGTGACATACTCTGAAATGTGTAATGGCTTGACAGATGTACAGACAGAAAGGTCACGGTTAGGTTAAATGGCACTTAGATGTATAAGAACTTGTGTGCTATTTGTCAGTATAAGTATAGGGATCAGAGTGTTTAAAATAGGTAATCTCCTAGTAGATTGCAGGTATGGCAGCTAGTATAGAACCTGCTGTGTGGGCGGACTACTTCAATTAGACAACCAAAAGTTGTACATATGACTAGTTGTATACTCATCTTGTACAAATTATGTAATCATAATTAAAATACAATAAAGGCAATAGACACTGATAACTACGGCCCTAGTGAAAGCAAAAAAAAAAAAAAAAAAAAGAGTCTGTTTAAAGGTTTTTTACTAGTTGTTATACCTAACACTTCTGCTTAGATGTTCTATTTAAACTTTCTAATCTAACCTTAGTATTAATTTTACTAAGTTACAGACTCAGATCTATTTATCTTTAATTATAAAACTATAATTCTTAAACTATTTTTATCCTCAAGGTAAACCTATCAGAATGAGCTGTATTCTCTTTTATTGCTAACCTGGTTTGATGCTATGGTTAAAACCAACACTTGTGGTTAGAGTTACTTATTAAATTACTATTAATTTTGTAAAGTTTATTCAAACTCTGATATCTATTTTTCTGACTTTTTCTTTATCATTCTCTACTAGTTACAACTCAGAACCAACTAACTCTCTAGACTTCTAATTCAAATAGCTCAGTATAGTATATTTATATATTTTTTTTCTCTAGCAATTCTGGCAGCCTAGTTGATCATATGCATTTTTTTTTTTTTTTAAATATTAAGGTG